TAACGTGCGCTAAGTATTGGAGCGTATGCTCTGTGTAGCTTTAGAGTTCTAGAGCTATTGAGCTGTTCGAGTCCTCAGGTCGTCGAGTCCTCGAATTGTCTAGCTTCTTTTTTCTTTCGAGAGCCAGAGAGCTTTTTAGGAGAGAGCTTATCTCCTTTTATAGTCGAAAGGGATGGCCTTACAAGTCAGAGAAAGAGAGAATGAATACGTGTGCTACCTAGTCTTGTTGCCCACGCTGTCGGGGACGAGACGGTCATCGGCGCCCACAATACTGTTTATGTCCAGACGCATGTGGCAGGCTCTATTGTGTTCGTCTGGTACGGCAAACGTCGGTGCCTACAATACTGTTTATGCTCTGACACGTCTGGAAGGTTGCATATTGCCCATCTAGCATGGCCTGGTGGCACCGTCCTATAGGTGCGCAGGGCATGGCAGAGTACTATCCTTGGTATTACGGTTGACTTGAGCGCCTTACCTTATCTACTCCGCCTGATCCCTGGGCCTTCACCGAGCGGGCGTCCCTGGTCGGTCGTTCCTAGTCGGCCCCGACCGTGTCGGTCGAGGAAGAGCCACGAGCAGAGGTCCGGCGTATCCCCAGTCGGAAAAGGAGGTCGGAGTCGGACTGTGGTCCCACATTGGCCAGGCCTTCCAGTCGGGGACCGGATCGTTGTCCTGGCCTGTCATTATGTATCTGGGCCGGCCTGGGAGGCACGTGTTGTCGCTACGCCGTCTGCTGGGCCAAGTTTTTGCAGGGAAGCGGTTCCATTGGGAACCCCGGGTTCATGAACCCGACACAATGTGTTCTCAAAATCCTCCAAATTTGAGGTTAAATTTACACACATCTTACATGTTTAGAACTAAAAATGATTAAAAGCTATTGATGTTTGTAGTTTTTAAGGGTTAACAAATCTTATCCTAAAGGACATATTTTGATGACGGGCGTAGTCTATTGGTAATTTGGTATACCTCACCGGTTTTATAAGCCGTCTTAGACAATACCATGCTTGAATTCTGATGACGTGATGAGATAAATGGAGCTAAGAGGAAAATAACGATGTTTCTCAAAACCCTTTCTCATGAGCTAAAATTTAGGACTATAATATTGCTTGTGCACCATCCTACGAGTTGTTGCCAAAGTTATTACAATCACGGTCTTAAATATCATGCCAAAAGTCTGATGATGGGATCATCAATCATGGTGTGACTACAAGAATCGTAAAATCTTATATTATATTAAATAGAATTGTAAGACATCTTAACAACTATATTGTTGCCAAGAAACTCAAGATTTTCTTTTATTCTCAGCACAAATTAAAGAATAGTGAAATTAGTGTGAAACAACTTAAAAATAACCCTTAATGCAAATTGTCTCTCATAAATTGTTTTGAAACGACTCAATAAGTCAAGATCATCGGGCACTATGACTATTAGACAAGACAAGACTAGTGTACAATCCACATCACATTACATTTCATAATCTTCTTTTTATATCCACACACCATCATCAACCACCGTTTTCAAAGTCTTCTCTTTAGACTTTTTTTTTCTTTTTCTTTCTAACATGGTGTAGGCGATGCAGATGCTCATGTACATATATGCATATTCACATATATAAATGCACGCACACGCGCAACCCATCTTTTCCATTAATGCTTTTTAGCGCGTGTTTAGTTTCCACCCCAAATTCCTAAAAAGTGCTACAGTAGTCATCACATCAAATCTTGCGATACGTGCATGGAGCATTAAATATAGACGAAAAAAACTAATTGCACAGTTTGATTGGAAATTGCGAGACGAACATTTTGAGCCTAATTATTCCATGATTGAACACTAATTGTCAAATAAAAACGAAAGTGCTACAGTAGCCAAATTCCAAATTTCCTCAACTAAACACGCGCTCAGGGACTAGGCCAATATACATTTACATTAGTGTAGTCTCCGCTGCATCTTTACTGTCAAAAGACATGTTGTCCATCAGTGAAAGTATAACTAGCCGAAAATACGAGTAAATAAACTACCAACCACAATGTCTAAACGGTGTCTCCTTATACTTAGGGCCACTAGTTGGACCACTATATATGTTGGAATGAGATCGTTCATGGAGGGGAATATTTTCTCCGGATGCTGAATGACGTCGTCCCTCCAGAACAAGACGTGATGGAGAGGGCAAAGGCACATGCACTGCAAGTGTGCAGCGGGCGAACATGGGGAAAGCGTCAGCATGCGGGCGTAGGAGTGGGCTCCACATAATATGTGAATGATTTCACTTTTTGTGTCCCTAAACTTAACACAAAACAGAGATGATCCGATACCTCTCAACGACTAAATGCAAGACAAGATCTTATCCAAAAAGCTAGGCTGGAACCATCCCATAATCCCATCCCACATGAATTAACACAAGTTCCAAAAAGGTCCTTATTCTTTTGCCTTTTATTTTAGTGAGGTCTTCGAGTTTTATCTCTCTTGTTTTGTATATATAGTTTCTTCCTAGATAGACTCCATGAGGCCTTGTTCTTTCTCGAATACCACACAGGTGCTAACGCTCAGACAATCACCACTATAAATATGCACATATACATTCTACCTTTATGAGCTAGGAGCACATTCGAGAGTCTAGAATAGTGGATTTGAGATTGATGAAATAAACCACTGAAGGCAACTCTCTATGAATTGACTTCATCTATCATTGGTCGTTTGTATCCTTTCATTTTGATGAAGGGATTGAAATCTACTTAATGGACTGGGCTATTTGGCTTAAAATTTGACATTCCACAACTTTCCAAATAAAGTTCAGATGTAAACGTATCTTAAATTCATAGAGTGGGAGATGTAAATTGATTCTAGAGATCATTAATCTATGTTTCTACTCTTCGGCTCGCTTTCCCTACAACTGACACTGGTAGAGAAACGACCTTTGATCCAGCTCGAAATTTGGCTTTAGTCCCGGTATATTTCGCACCCGGGACTAGAGAGACCTTTAGTCCCAGTTTGTAGCTCCAACCGGGACAAAAGGTCCCTGCCCAACGGCTACTGCGGCAGACTTTTGCTGCAGGGGACCTTTAGTCCCGGTTGGAGCTACCAACCGGGACTAAAGGTTAACTTTTACTCCCGGCTGAAGGCTCCGTCCAAGACTAGAAAGGGACCTTTAGTCCCGGTTGCTGTCTCCAACCAGGACTAAAGCTTGAAACTGTAACAGGCAGTCTTTTGAGCTGACACTGACAGGGTGCATGTTAGCATGGTAGCCTAGCCTAGCTATTGTGGCTGTTGTTTGTGTTTGTGACCACAAGTCTGTTCATTCGGCTGCTGTGCCGGTGGGGGCTCAGCTATAGCCTCAGACCATCGTGAGACGCATTCATGGCTGCTCTATCTACCACATGTCGAGAGATCTGCAGACACATGCAACATGCATGGGTCCAATGCAACTGAACACGACCAAATCAATTAGTTCCGGCTGGTATTATGAGCCGGGACTAAAGGTATACCTTTAGTTCCGGCTAGTATTACCAGCCGGGACTAAAGGTTTTTTAGTCCTGGACGTTTATAGGAGCTTCGATGGGCCGGTTCGACCTGAAACCCACACATAGGAGAGAGCATATACCAGAATGGAGCGGCCCAGTACGCAATATGCTGGAATTGCTGTCCAGTCTCACCTATTAGCACCACCTCGCTTGCTCAGAAGAGTGAAAGCTAACTTAAAAGCTCAGCTCTGGAGCCATGCACCACGATCTTACTTGAACAGGATCTGTTCTATAAGATCGTACCGCTGCATCCTTGACTAAAAGTCCTTCGTACATTATAAACGTGTAGAATATGTATATTCTAGCAGCGTAGAATGCGTATTCGAAAGCCAAAACGAATCATCAATTAAAAATAGAAACAAAAAATAAAGAAAAAAAATGAAAGTCCCGGTAGCAGCGTAGAATGCGAATGAATCATCAATTAAAAATAGAAAAAAAAGAAATAGAAAATAGAAACAAAAAAAGAAAACCTGGACTAAAGGGCCGGCCCACGTGGCCAGACCGGGAGGCCTCTTTAGCCCCGGTTGGTATTACCAACCGACCTTTAGTTCCGGGCGAGAAACTGGGACTAAAGGAGGGGCCATTTAGTCCCGGATTCGTGCTCTCGATTGGGAAACTGGGACTGAAGGGGGTTGAGAATCAGGAGTACAACTCGTTTCTCTACTAGTGTGAAATACATCATATAAGTATCTCCCTCGTATGGCTGACAGTAGTATACAAATATATTATGCATACAATCATATTAACTTAACCAATATGTGTCTAAGTTATAATTATTAGAATGGATTTCGATTCGAAGGATCCAAACGGGGTCTAAGAGTAATGGTGTTGATTTCTATAGTAAATATAGGAGACCATCCAGTGCTGAGTGTAGGACTCCAATCTGGATAGATAGGGTTCAAACAAAAAATTCAAATCCGGATGTATAGAATGTAGATCTGATTCACGGAAATGGCCTAGTATGCGTCGTCGAGCAAATTAGTACATATGTTCTAAATTATAGCTCATTTTGGAATTTTCTTTGTCATACCTCCCGTTCTTTGACCAAGTGTTTTTGAAAAAATATATAAGTTCAAACAAATGCAAAAATATATTTTATGAAGAATCTAATGAAACATGACTTGGGATAAAACTAAAATGAACTTCAACTTGGAATGAATGGAGTAAGCTGAGAGTACACGTACAACATGCTGCTACGATCGAGGGATTTTCTTTTGAATTGGCGGTCATATTTACGCTTAAAGTGATTATTTCCTGTAAATTGTAATACAACTTCGATCTTTTTTCCTTCTAAGTTGTACTACTTTACAGGAAAAATACAAACTACACTGGCAACAGGCTGCTACTAGTGAGTAGTAGTACATCACAAAGTCATAATTATGCACGTGACAGAGTTAAAGAGAGCACATGACACATGCTCCTAATACACAGTTAGGCATCATACCATCATCATAAATGTGAAAGACGTGCAAATTGAACCATCTACTGTGTATTCTGATTCCTGTAGTCAACGGCCAACACTCCCGCGCGATGCGCCTTGTGCGACTGCGGCTGCCCCTGCACCCGCCGGGTCCGGGGACCTTTAGTGGCCTCCACGACCACGACCTCGCCCTCGCCCTCTTCCTGCTCCTCGTCGTCGGCCGGCCGCCTCGCACTGCTCTCCCTCCTCTTCTTCTTCTCGCCGGCGCACCCCACGGAGTCGGAGTCGACCTCCTCCAGCTCGAAGTCCTCCATCCGGAACGCCGGCCGCCACGGCGGCTCGGCGTCCCGCGCCCGCTTCCTCCCCGTGGTCGTGCCGCTGCCGCCAGTGCTGACCATGCCCCTCATGGCGCGGATGTTGTCCAGCAGCGCGTAGAACCTCTCCACCTGCTCGTCGTCGTCCTCGCCTCCGCCGCTCGCCTTCAAGCCAGCGACGGCGGCGGCGTCGGACTCGGGCGATGACGACTGCTCCGCCGCCTGCTGCGGAGCTGACGACAGGACCGCGGTAGCGGCGGCGGCCGGCAGGGCCTTCTTGCTCCCTGGCGTTGCATCCATCGCGCCTAAGGATATTTTGCCTGGAGAGTTGATGCGTGAGAGAGACACGAGGGAGACAAGAGTAGAAGGGATGGAAAGGCAACGGAGAAGGACGTGGACGTTGAAGGCCTGCTTCTGGCTGCCGGCTGCCGGCTGCTGGCTGCTTCTTTAAATAGAAGGCCTTGCCGCCGTGATGCTGTAAACGTGTGCCATGCTCATACCTTGACCATTGAGAGGCAGTGCAGTCTTTTGTTTTTACTTCGTTCGTGCTTCAAATTGTCTGCTAGCTCTGAAAGCAAATTTTTTAAGCGCAGACGTAACGACCAACATACAGTATACTGGTGGTAATAATAAGACAGTCTTGGACCAACGGTAAGATATTAAAGCCTCTAAAAGTTATTAATTATTAATTTTTTCTTGCAACAAAATTTTAAGCTATAAAGTTACCGTCATTTGCAAAAGAACTTTGAGTACAAAATCTATTTTTTAACTTCTGTACACAAAACATTATTATAATTTGACTAATTTGTTGATAATTATTTTAAAAAAATTGAGTTTTTTTTCAAATAAAAATAGCCCTTACATTAAGTTCAAAGAGACCACCTCTCTTTGTACTCCCTCTTTATACATGTATATGAGTGTTTGTGTATGTACTGTGATACACAAAAATGTACAAAGGGAGCACATTTTATCACTTTACTTTCCATGATCACGTTGTTTTAGCTTTAGGCACAATAACTAAAGACGACGAAAATAAAATGACTATTGTACCACTAGCTAATCTTCTATACAACGCACATTTTTTTATGTTAAAAGCACTCGCCCACTCTCCCATATATACTAGTTAATAATGGAATTAATAAGGGGTAAGATTGGAAAGGAGTAGATCTATGTTTGTATATAAGAACAAATCTTTTCGAAAACAGTTGATCGAAGAAGTTACTAATAAACCAACAAGTATATATTGTGAAATGGAGAAACTATGTTGTGTATAAACTAGGCTGGAGAACCAGTATAACTTTAAGGCCCCATTTGGAGCCTCTGAAGCGGTTTTAGCCGTCAAACGAGTATACAAGAAACAGGAGGCTGGAGCCATTTTTAACCGAGGAGCTAGAGCTGTAAAAATGTAGCTTCGTCCAACTCCTCACAAATTTGATCTAGATTATGACAAAACTGTTACTAAGCCATTTTTGCTAAACATTTTTTTTAAAATAGCTTTAGCAACACCAGAAGAGCTACTCGACAAGAAGAGCCAGAGTCGGAATCCTTTTAGGAAGAGCCAAATCCTTACCAAAATGATCCTAAGTATATCTAGTACACACTTCAACACTAGTAGATGCAAATAACGTTTGGATCATATTCCAGACTACTACTACTGCATCCGAGAAGGGGGGGAAATGCAATTCTCACTTTTCGAGAAATCAAACAATTTAAATTTTGATCAAATGTATATGGAAAACTGCTAACATTTATTATACCAAATTAATATCATTAGATTTGTTATCAAATGTATTTTTCACAATAAACTTATTTGGAGACATATATGTTGATACTATTTTTTTTATAAATTTGGTAAAACTTAAGAAAAATTGACTTGTCTCAAATCCAGAATTAATGTTTTTGGGATGAAGTATCATTTAAAGATGTCAAAATACAAGGGCTGGGAGTTTGAATCCCAAGGTGATGGAAATTGATCCTTTACACATTTATGTTAAGCTAACGAACTGCAATCCAATGTGAATCGAGTAAGCAGATTGGAGGTCACTGGTCAGGTCACCGTGAGTCCTTTACCATCTTTTTGACAGAGGAAATTGAGATCCCTGACAAGCTAGTCCAAGAAATGTAACTACTCATAGTACATATATTTTAGTTTTCATAAGTTGACATGGGCTGTCAAGAAGAATATATATAAACAAGCAAGAAGGGCGACCAATGTAATGCTAGGTAGTAACGGAAAATTATACCTTAAACCAAGACTAGGACCAGCTGGACCGCCGCCGGTCCTCCAAAATGCGTTTACTTTGTCAGTGACAGCGGTGGGGGCTGGGTCGTCTTTGTATACCATGCTGCCAGGTCGCTTCACGCTTTCCTTTACCCGGATCTGACGAAGCTACCCCAGGTCCACAGCTTGTCACCAGGGATCGGTGGTGGGGGCAGAGTAGGAAAAGCACGGCGGACGAGTCCAATTCCATTGCCTACGGCGCGCAGTGGTTGCCGCGCTGACGTCGCCGCGGTGACGCCAGCGAGGGTGGTGTCACGCCACACGAGTCTCACTCACACACCTGTGGTCGTCTTGGCTCTCGTCGTCGCAACAGTTGGCATGGCATCCTGCACCACCGGCCTTTCAGCATGTTCGGTTGGCTGGTTCGTTTCGTCGCTGGTTCGTGAAGAAATACTGCTGGCTGGTTTGTGTGAGAGAAAAATATTGTTTCGGTTGGAAATTTACGATCATTTACGATAAGCCATAGCCAAACAAACAGGCTTTTTGTCGGTCACATGCACACACAGACACAGAGCAGCTGGTGAGGTAGCAGGTTCACCGCCGGCTTCGTGCAAGGTTTTGTCCGTGGGATGGCACCATAGGCTCTGATCGCTCGTCGTACCGTTTCAGTAAAATAATAGTATTTTTCTCTCGCAACAAATCAATATCAACATCTGCATTAGCTATTTTTTCAGCCAGCCGAACATGACCATAGCCATAGATGTTCGGAACAGAATCATGTGCGCTCCCGTATGTGTACAAGTATCCTCTTCTTCCTCCGAAAGGAAAGGAGAAGTAAACTGGCCACAAAGTGCGCGACACATCAATTGTTATGCTAGCACTCTCTCCATTTTAGTAAATCATAGTACTAGGTAGCATGGCAATATTAGCAACAGATGGAATGTAGTAACTTTGAGGTGTCATAGGACAAAAAGTACAATTTGCTACCGAACATTCTAGTTTCTGGTATATTTGCTCTGAACATCAATCGCCATGGTTAATATAATGTTTCTCGCATGATTAGGAGGGAAATATGGTGAAATAGGTTTTTTTTTTCTCCTGGACCTCCTTGGTTTGACCAAGTTTGTCCTGCTCATTGCTGTCTCCACATGCTCGTCATGGCTGTTTTTCTTTAACTTTGAGGGAGAAAGGAAGGGAAAAAATGGTCTAAGGAGTAGACCAAGAGGCGAAAACGATATTTTCATATTTATCTCTCTATCTTGGGTCAAAAATATTATTTTAAGCAATGTTGTGTCTAATAGAAAATTTGTTCGAGCCCAGAACGTCCAGCTGTTAGTTGCACTTCTTTTTGTCCAAGAAGCTCAATATCACTTTTCATATACTACACCAAATTTTGCCTTTTCGTTGTCCTAAATCAAATTTATCTAACTTTAACTAAGTTTATAGAAATACATATATTAACATCGGAAAGAACAAACAAACCGCACTATGAAAATATATTTTACGATGTGTCTAATAGATCTTGTTTGATGTTGTAGATGTTTTCTATTAACTCAGTCAAACAATAGAAATTAGACTCGAGATAAAGTTAGAACAACTTACCATTCGAAACTAGAGGAGCAAACAAGAAAACTCTTTAGGATTGTACCATGGGTGGTCGAAAAAGTTTGACGCGTTCAAACTGTTTAATATCATATACTATACAGTTTGCTACCCGGCCTGTTTGTTATTGAGCGTTAAGCTTCTTACCATCTATGAACCGCACGCCGTTGCTTATGACTTGATTGTCTAGCTTTTTCAGAAAAAAAATAATTCTAGATAAATTCTTTATTAAAATATCTAAAATTTATTTAGGGAAATTCTTTTCTACTCCCAGCAGCAGTAGTAGTAGTAACTACTCCCTCTCTCTTAACCTCACGTGGATACCTTTGGAACCGTCTCACGTCTGACCGTGGTGGGCAGGTTGCCTAGCGGGTTAAAAAAGGCGGACATGTTAATGCAACTTACTTCATTCGTCCTTAAATAATTGTCGTTTTCACTTCAAAAATAACTTTAACTAATTTTATATAAAAAATTAATATTTATGGCATAATTAATATTATTAGATAGACCGCTGAATTTATTTTTATGATAAATTTATTTGAAGATACAAATGCTGCACATATTTTCTACAAATCTAATCAAACTTATAACACGAAAACAAAAACAACAATTATTTAGAAAGTTTAGCATTAGAGCAAAGTTAATAATACAGTCAGCTACTAGCTGTATAGAAACTTATAGCTCATCTATCAGTACAATCATAACATAGTTAGCCTATTTATAACATATCTGTGTGTCTCATTATAATTCTTGGTTCTTGTGCATAAGCGGGTTGTAAGCTTATTACCCGCTTCTCTTCTCATTTCCCCTTGTTATATTTGCTCTTACCGTGTTTAGGGTATTCGGCGGAGGCGGAGGCGGCGGCTTTCGATTACCTGGCTTCATCGGCGACTTCCCATTTTCCTTTTTCATCGCCGCCATTTGCAGCAGGGGCCTCGTCGGGACTGCCGCCGCCACTTGTGACTGCCCACCAACGTGCGTAAATGGATCGGAGGAGCCTTACACCGCTCTGGTCTCCGTTGGCTGTGCGACACCTTCATGCGTGCGTTGGTATGCATGCTCTCATAAGACGCACTATCGTAACGAGATCTATCTTGGTGTGGCGCCTAGAAGCATCCATGAATGGAATTCAAGCTTATTAATCTGGTCTAATCTTTCTTGTTGTAGATCGATTTATTTATTTTGTCTCCTAACATTATGTTCACTTGAACTTATTAGTTCGACTTATCAGTCATAGTACAATATTTTTCTCTCACAACGAAACAACATCAGACGTAAAAACCATCAGCCGAACAGTGTCATGTGACTGCTCCTTCCACCAAATTAAATCTGAGACTCGGAGTCTTGCACCTGCTCACGTCTCGTGCTGGACCGGCGAAGAGATGCGTCAATGCGTTCGTATCCATCATTCCATCACCAGACTACTATTCGAGATTCATCAATGTTCAGGTACAGTAGCATCTCATCCCGGCAATTC